TCCACCTCCTCTTCCTCCTGCTCCATATTTTGTTGCATGTTCCGTGCTAAATTGTTGTGCTTCCTACTCACAATGACAGGAAGGCATGTCGTCTGTATTCAATGGGATCAGAGGGTACTTTGACTATCAGATGTCTAAATTCTTCCCTTCTCTAATTTCATCATTAAAGCTTTCCAAATTTCTTGTGTCTATGCCGTTTTAAATGATTTCATGTGATTGTACATCAATACATCGAATATCAAATTTAAATCCAACATTATCTCCTACCTTTAGAACATAAGAGAACTCACCGTTTGAATTCTGGGAGTTTTCCTCTTGCTACTAGTTACTGCTAGTTCTACGCAAACTGCTGTAGTGTCACCGAAGCAGGATAGAACAAACTCATGAGCATCCTGAAAGCCTCCTAAGTGTGCAGGCTAAAAAGAGCACTGCAGTTTGGTCAGCTCAACTGGAGAAAGCAGAAGGGAAAGGGTTGCAGGAAAGATTAGAGAAGTGTGGTTGCTCGTAAACTTAATCTACAATTAAGTCCACAAAGAATGTAGTAAACATCTGTGATGCCATAGGAACCTCAGGAGATTCTCGGGAGGCAAAGGCCTGCATAGGTAGTCAGAATCAGAATAGGAGAAAGGAGCCTTGGAGGTCTTCTAGTCCACCCCCCTGCTCAAGCAGAAGACCCTATACAATTTGAGACAAGTGGCTGTTAAATCTCTTCTTAAAAACTCCAGCAATGAAGCGCCCATGATTTCTGGTGGCAAGCTGTCCCACTGGTTAATTGTCCTCACTGTCAGGAAATTCCTCCTTAATTGCAGGTTGCTTCTCTCCTTGGTTAGTTTCCATCCATTGTTTCTTGTCCTGCCCTCTGGTGCTTTGAAAAATAGATTGACTCCCTCTTCTTTGTGGCAGCCCCTCAAATATTGGAATACCACTATCATGTCCTTTCTAGTCCTTTTTTTTCTCTAATAGCCTTACCCAATTCCTGCAAGCATTTTTTTGCATGTTTTAGTCTCCAGGCCTTTAATCATCTTAGTTGCTCTTCTCTTTTTCCAGTTTCAACATCCTTTTTGTAATGTGGTGACCAAAACTGGGTGCAGTATTCCAGGTGTGGCCTTACTAAGTGGTACTAATACTTCACGTGACCTTGATTCTATGCCTCTCTTTATACAACCAAGGATCATATTACCTTTCTGGGCTGCTGCTGCACACCGCTGGCTCATATTTCAGGGGTCATCCACCAGGACTCCAAGGTTCCTCTCACAGATACTGTCTTACAGTCATTTGTTTGGCAACTGTTTGAAATTGCAAAAAGTTACTTACAGCCAATCCCTGCTCTTATGATCGTCACGAGCACCTTCACGCTCATGTGATCAGAATTCAGGCACTTGGCAACTGACATGGATTTCAATGCTTACACCAGGGGTCCCCAAACTTATGTCAACACCCTTGTGAAAATTACTGCAAATTAGCTCCCCTCATACAATTTTTCAGGTGTGAGAATCCACATTTTTGGCCACGCTACCACTAACACAGTGAGATGGACGATCTGTCAACAATCCAACGGAGTATCTCCAATTGTCCCCTCTCTACCCCCAACTCCAAAACTGTTATTAATGTAAATTCCCCTTCCCTACCAATTAGGAAAATGTAACTTCCTTTTCATCATCTGCTGCACTCAGTTCTCCTGCAGAGGTGAGAAGAACGAGAAGAGGACATTGAAATGAAAAAGAGAAGGACGCGTGTCGGAAAAAAAAGACTGGGTTCTTTGCCAACAGTTGCTCTAAGCCTCCCTTCCTGCTCCCTTCAACCATGCAAACAGATCATTTCCAAGGGGATGCATCCCTTGAGAGAATTTCTAGTAGAAATGGATCAAGTCTGGGAAATGTTCAGTTGCCGTATTGTTACAGTTGAATGATGGCCCTGAGAGGTTGGCTGCAGAAATTCAGATGACCACTAGATGGAGACAAACTTTCTTGCCTTTTTCTTTTCTTGGTCTTTCCTGCCACCTTGTGTTCTTCTGCAATTTTGCACATCTGAGAGCCCCATTCAAGTGTAGAGGCTTGCAAGGATTTTCGCTTGTCAGCATCAGATGCAATAAGAATATTGCCTAGATAATAAAAAAAAGAGAGACCCTTTCACTCCAGTGGAGAAGGTTGTGTCCCAGTCTACCTTCCAGGTGCTGAAGCAAAGATGCTTCTCCATAAGAGATGATCCTTTCAAAAGAAGGCTCTCCTCTGGAAGGCATTGTGTCTAGATACGCCATGATGGTTTCCGTTTAGAAGACAGGGTTGTGTACCGCTACTGAAAGGGGAGGCAAGACTGCAATTCTTCCATTCATGGATAACAAGTGAAGACTTGTCAAGGCAATTGGCTTTGAAAGGAACCATCCCTTTCATGGTAGGACATATCTCAGGAACTTCTGAAGACGACTCATCTCCAAATACCTCCTCCTGTCCCCTTCTCTCAGTGAAGGCCTGCAGGCTGGGTCCCTCTATCTCTGTGTTCAGGCCGTTTTGTGCCCAATCTCACTTCTGCATACACAACTTCGGTGTCTGGTTGAGCTTCCCTTTTGTGGAATCTGATGGCAGCATATGTCACATCGCTCATTCGCTTGGTCAAAGTGTGCTATTAAGAAAGACAGGGACAGAAGAAGAAGGGTGGTTTTTAATTATGATATGAAAATCAGCAGATTCTCTGAACAGGAACTAAAAAAAAAACCCGTCATGTGTTCTGAGACACCACAAAGAAACTGGCTCTCACAGACCATTTCTCAGAAACAGACATTACAAGAATGGTCCACATCATGTAGGTCATCTAATTCAACCCCCCCGCCCCCGCTGCCCAAGCAGGAGACCCTACACCATTTCTGACAGGTGGCAGTCCAGTCTCTTCTTGGAAGCTTCAAGGGATGAAGCTCCCACAACTTCTGAAGGCAATTTCTGTTCCACGGGTAGATTGCTCTCACTGTCAGAAAATTCCTCTTTATTTACAAATTGAATCTCTCCTTGCTCAGTTTCCACCCATTATTCCTTGTCTGGCCTCCAGGTGCTTTGGAGAATAGCTTGACCCCTTCCTCTCTCTGTGGCAGCCCCTCAGATACTGGAAGACTGCTCTCCTGTCTCCCCTGGTCCTTCTCATCCCTAGACTAGCCAGGCCCAGTTCCTGCAACCGTTCTTCATATGTTTTAGCCTCCAGTCCCCTAATCATCTTCTCTGCACTCTTTCTAGAGTCTCAACATCTTTTTTATAATAAATTAATCCCCCTTTGGGATTTATGCAATGAATGACAAACCACCCAAATACCCAGGATTGAAGCAAGAAATTACTATGATCACACTCCTCCCTTAGTTCACTTCCAAATCCTATACAAAATTAAAGAAAATTAAGCTCTACACATTGCATGAAGGTAGCCATTATTACGAACATAGAGAGAGGTTTGAAAGCATATACAGGTAGTCTTTAACTTTCAAACATTCATTTAGTGACTGCTTGAAATGGCAACAGCACTAAAAAAAGTGATTGATATCCCCTTTTCACACTTATAACTGTTGCAGCATTCCCCATAGTCATGTGATCAAAATTCAAGTATTTGGTGTGCATTTATAATAACTGTAATGTCTTGGGGTCATGTCATCACTATCTGCAACTTCCCAGTCAACTTCCAACAAGTAAAGTCAATGAAGGAAGCCGGATTCACTAAATGACCACATCATTCACTTAACAACTGCAGGAATTAACAACTGGCAACCACTTACAAACTGTGGCAAAACGTTTGTAGGGTTGATGCTGACTCAAGGGTCTCGTCTCCATTTCAAAGCCCTTAAGCCAGTGCTGTCTGAAGACATTTCCACAGTCATGTGGCCAGCATGACATCATGGGTGTTTTCTGCCCACTGAATTGGTACCTATTTATCTACTTGTATTTGCATGCTTTCGAACTGCTAGGAGCCATGGTGGCTCAGTGGTTAGAATACAGTACTGCAAGTTACTTCTGCTGACCACTGGCTGCAGTTTGGCAGTTCAATTCCAGCTCAAGGTTGACTCAGCCTTCTGTCCTTCCAAGGTCAGTAAAACGAGGACCCAGATGGTTCGGGGCAAGATGCTGACTCTGTAAACCACTGGAAAGCACTGTGAAGCATATATAAGTCTGTGCTATTGCCCTTCTATCCATCCATCCATCCATCCATCCATCCATCCATCCATCCATCCATGATGCCTAAAATGCAGTATTGCAGACTGACTCTGTCCACTGCCAGGAATTCAATCCTGACCAACTCAAGGTTGACTCAGCCTTCCATTCTTCTGAGGTGGGTAAAAGGAGGACCCAGATAGTTGGAAACCATAGGTTGACTCTATAAACTGCTTAGAAAGGGCTGTAAAAAACACTGTGAAAAGATATATAAGTCTAAGTGCTATTGCTATTGTTAGGTGGGCAGGAGCTAGGCAAAGACAGGTGCTTACTCTGTCATGCAACACTTGGGTCTTGAACCCTGGACTGCTGGCTTTCTAGTTGATAAACTCAGTGTCTTTAACCACTGAGCCATCGTACTACCCAGCCAGGAAGAAATGTACTTGTGAGATTCTGTCAACGTAACTTTACTACGAGGATAGCGCTATTGCTGCTGGGTGTGCTTCTTGTCTGGATTACCTCGCAGGGCTGACAATCAATCATTAGTTGCATAATATTCACCCTGCTCCTGATGCCCCAACATGTGACGAGAGGTCAGTGTTCTTTTAGAGTTGCAAATGTATGCAAATATTGTATGGAAATTGTGCTTTCTGTGAGACTGGAATGGGGGGATTTCCCAGAAAACGATAGAAGCTCTGAGGGGGAAAACTATTAATAGTACAAAAGGCGAACTACCAGAGATTCGTTTTGAATCTTTTTTGACGGCTAATTGAGAGTGTGACAATGAATAAAAATAGTGACTGAAAAGAATATGCAGTACTTTGGCTTCTGAAAGACACAAATCTTTTTCAAGAACAGGCCCGATTCGGATGCTTAAGACTTTGTTCATACAAAGTCACAATTCAGTGATTTTAACTTTTAAATGGGAAAAAAATAGCCGTTTTAGGTGTGGATGGAAAGAGATGTTGTTATGAAAGGAAACAATAGAAAATTGCAACAGGAAATTAAAAGTGGTTTTTGAGAATAACCTCAATTGGATAGTTCTAGTCTAGTGAAAAGAAAGACTAGGGATGACATGACAGCAGTCTTCCAATATCTCAGGGGCTGCCACAAAGAAGAGTCAACTTATTCTCCAAAGCTCCGGAGGGCAAGAAACAATGGATGGAAAATTATCAAGGAGAGAAGCTACTGGAATTAAGGAAAACTTTCTAACAGTGAGAACAATTAACCAGTGGAATGGCTGGACTTCAGAAGTTGTGGGTGCTCCAACACTGGAGGTTTTAAGAAAAGTCTAGACAGCCATTTGTCTGAAATGATATAGGGTCTCGTGGTTGAGCAGGGGGCTGGACTAGAAGACCTCCAAGGTCCCTTCCCACCTCTCTTATTCTGTTCCATTCTTAATAAAGACATAAAAGTAAGAACTGTTCAGGGTACAAACCAAGCATCTGTAAGATGACATTTCATACAACGTAATAATCGGTTTTAAAAGAAAAGGTAAGAGAAAATACAAACGATTTTGGATAAGTTGAAAAAAAAGGAAGGATTATTCGAAACCGTCCAGAAAAGACAACTCTTAGTCACCAGATCTGACTATTACAGCAGTAACTGACTATACTAACACTGAGGTGGAAATAAAGCTGAACTCTGCAAAACAAGGACATTTTGAATCTGTAAATAAATTGGGGAAATGATGGGCACATGCCTCACAAAAAGAGAATGAAAATGAAGCGACCATACTAACCGACAAGAAAATGCTGTAATGACAGATAATGCAAATGTGCAAAAAGAGTTTCATCGATACTGTACTTTATATACAGGTCAAGAAATACTTCTAGAGGAATATTTACATAAACAGAATTTCCCGACAATCATAGAGAACCAAGGCAAGCGTTGAATGGACCTATAAAAATAAAGAAGCTATTAAAAAGACTAAAACAGGAATGGCATCTGCTCCAGAAGTCGTTCAGTCTTACTATCAATGCCTTGAGGATGAACATTTACAATCTTTAAAATGGGTAATATTTTACACAATGGAAAGATTCTGGATACTAGAAAGAAGCTCCCTTCTTTCCCCTGCCATACATGGGATTGGCGGTGGGATTCAATTTTTTTTTACTACCAGTTCTGTGGGCATGGCTTGGTGGGCATGACAGGGGAAGGCTACTGTAAAAGCTTGCCTTTCTTATCAACTGTCTTCCCAGCTGCAGCTAATGAAGGGAATCAAGGCCCTTTCCTCCCCGGTAAGCCATGCAACTCATATTGCTCTCTTCTCCATTCCTCCCTGCGTGCCTTAGGAGGAAGAGCGGGTGGGCCTGGGTCTTCCTCTGAACTCTCTCTCCCTTTTTCTGCCTCTCCCCCTGCTCTGCCCAGCCGGACTTTGCCCTTCTCCAGCCCCGCCCCCCCCTCACAGCAAAAACAGCCACATTCCCATTTCCTGTCAGCTGTCCGGCTTCCTCCTCGGATTCAGACTCTGACAGGGGCATGACACTATCCATCTCAACAAGATCTTGTGAGAAGGTCACAAAAGGCCATCACATGACACCCCCCTGGACACTGCAACCGTCATAAATATGAGTCAGTTGCCAAGTGGCTGAATTTTGATCACATGACCTCAAGTTGCTGCAATGGAGATAAGGGTGAAAAAAGTGGCCAGAAATCACTTTTGTCCCTGCTGTTGTAACTTCAAACAGTCACACTGAATGGTTGTAAGTCAAGAATTACCTGTATTGCGATTAAACATTCAAGAAACATTATTTTTAAAACCCAAAAGTATTTAAACACCCAGTAAATGCCAAGTACAGGAATGGAAAGACCTTCGTGTGATTCCATGATGAAGCCGTCCTTTGATTTACCTTTTGGGCTTCTTTGGCTACCGTAGGCTCAGCCTCCAAAGGGTTTTCTGAAGCTCCTACAAGGGTGAAATAAAGAGGAACATGAAACATTATTCCTCAACCACATTCAAGAATTGTCATGAAGGAGTCAACAGATTTTCAGAGTTGGATGGGACCTTGTAGGTCATCTAGTCCAACCCCCCACCCAAGCAGGAGACCCTATACCATTTCTGACAGATGGCAGTCCAGTCTCTTCTTGAAAGCCTCCAGTGATGAAGCTCCCACAACTTCTGAAGGCAGCTTCTGATCCATCAGTTGATTGTTCCCACTGTCAGAAAATATTTCCTTAATTCTAAGTTGAACCTCTCTTTGATCAGTTTCCATCCATTATTCCTTGTCTGGCGCTTCAGGTGCTTTGTCCATAAATGAACATGAATGAATGAGGGTGGCCATTACTGTTTAAATCCCTCCCTGGACCTCTTCCTTTTAAGAAGTTCATACCTCACTGAGCTTCAGAAGGAATTTTAAGATTTTTTTTTTAATTGAGCAAGCAATCATACCTCTCTCATGAGCACATGAGAAGTTCTCTGACATTTTACTCTTATGTATATGTTTTCGGCAGCACAAACCGGAGGTCTCTTGGAAAAGGAAGATATCACAACCTTCCTTTAATGACCTCATAATCCCTTGCAGGGTGGAGTCTGGACAACTGAACGGAGCTAGCAGAGTGGTTTACTGGCCGGATGCCCTTCCTGTCACCAATGTGGAGGTTTGTTCAGCTGATATATTCTCATCGCGCCCAGAGAGAGAAATATCTACCTCTACCTAAGATCGAACTCACAGCCTTCTGATTGTGAGGCGAGAGCTCGATTTCTAGACCACGGCACCACTCTTGGTCAAGGAAGATGTCCAGGTTAGCCAGCACTGGCCTAAGGCTTTCTTTCTCAGATTTTGAAATGGAGCCACACCCGACAGCCTCCTTCTGAGAATGAAACGTCTGAAAGGACAGCTGTGGAAGAAGGCCTCACCTTTGTTTTTCCTCTTGGATCTCCACACCAGGACTCCCAGGAGCAGCAAGAAGAGGAGGGTGCCCACAGCTACTCCAACCCCCACAGGGATTCCAATTCCACTCCCGATATCTTGGGCGGGTGGGCCCGGTTGCCTGCCGTCACCATCGATGTTGGTGGTCTGCGACGGCTTCCCACGTCCTGCTTAAAGCAAGCAACACGACGTGAGCTGGTAAGAGTGGACAGCCTCCGAAGAGAAGCTCTTATCGACAGGCCGTCCTCGGCTTACGGCCCGATGTTTCTCTTGCTAACCAGCAGGAGCGGATTTCCTCCCGTTTAATGACCTTCCTTGCCACAGTTGTTAAGCGAATCACCGCAGTTGTCAGGGATATGGTTGTTTAAGGGAATTCGGCTTCCTCGTTGACTTTGTTTGCCGAAGGTTGCCAAAGGGGATCCCTGGGACACTGCAACCGTCATAAACGCGAGTCAGCGGCCAAACACCCGAGTTTTGATCACGTGACTACGAGGATGCAGCAACGGTCTTAAGGGTGAAAATGGTCATCGGTTGCTTTTTTCAATGCCGTTGTAACTTTGAGAGGTCACTAAATGACCTGTCCTAAGTTGAGGGCTACCTGTACTCCTCACTCAAGAGATACTCTTAGAATTGCAAACTCAACATCCTGGGAGTGGGGGAAAGGGAGAAAAACTATGAAACCCTCAGGGAAGACCTCAGCTCCCAAACACCATCCCACCTCTTAGGCTAATACTGTTGCTCAAGTCGTTGGCACAACAACATCACAACACATGTGATGTCACTGTGACTTCTACTCCCCTACCTGCTTGGGTTTCCATGCCAATGTTCTTTGTGAGAGGCAGATTTGTAGCCTCTCTTAGACTTAGACTTATTGTATATACCGCTTCGTAGTGCTTTACATCTCTCTCTCTCTAAGCAGTTTACAGAGTCAGCCTATTTGTCCCCTAACAATCCTCATTTTACCGATCTTGGAAGGATGGAAGACTGAGTTAACCTTGAGCTGGTCAGGATCGAACTCCTGGCTCTGAGCAGAGTCAACCTGTAATACTGCATTATAACAGGAAGGAAGGAAGGAAGGAAGGAAGGAAGGAAGGAAGGAAGGAAGGAAG